GGAGATGGCATTTCCTGCATGTATCATCTGCTGTAACCAGGTCTTTGATAATATATTTCTAATAATTTCCTATTGCTATGACCTTATCTTGGATCGCGAGCAGGAATCCTTCCATTTCGGGAAAGAGCTGACCATCATCTAACCAGGTGTATGATGATTTTTGATCAATATAATCTTGTTTCATGTCACCAGGTGTTCATTTTCCCCTGTTGCAATTGCGTGTCGTTGTATATGTCTATTGGATGTGTTGTTTGGGATAGGTTGAGGGGTGTATAGTTTTTATCTGCTATGCTTATCGCTGTGTAGAGCCCAGTCTGTCTAGCATGGAAGAATTTCCTAAGTGTTTGTATTTGCCTTGCGTGTAGTGATGTTATGTCTACAATTCCTCTTCCTCCTTCATTACTTCTGATTGTTAGCCTTTCCTTGCATGAATTGGGGTGTGACTTTCTGTGTTTGGTGAGTTCAGAGCGCATGAGGATGTTATTGTTATGTTTTCCAGGTCAGTTTCAGACCATTTAATGATACCGAATGAGTATGTAAGAGTAGGAATGGCATATGTGTTTATGGCTTTAGTGAGATTTCTGGAATTTTATTTACTTTTTTTAATAGCCCGATAAGTCTATTTCTGAATTCAGTTTTAAGCTCTATTTTGATGTGAGTGTGATTGAGTTTGGTACTTTGATAGAATCCTATAGGTATTTATATGTTTCATTCCTGAGCATGTTGTCTAGTGGCCGCGTAGAGTTTGATGTCATCCATCATATACAGTAAGTGGTTTATTTGGTGTTTTTTTTTCTTTCTTGTGTCTGAGTTGAAAACCGGGCTTCGTATTGTTAAGCGTATTAGAAACTGGATTAAGACAGAGGCAGAACCATAGAGCGCTAAGTGAGCCGCCTTGGAAAATACCACGTCTGACATGGAGTTCTTCAGTTTGGATGTATTCGGTTTCTTTAGTCGGATTTTGGTTTTCCAGGATTTCATGATTTGTGCAAGAAACTCTCTGAGATTCTTGTTGATTTTGTAGATTTCAAGAACTTTCATAATATTCATATCATTATTATTATTATTATTATCATAACAAACTTAATAATTTACAAATTCGCGATTCAAATGTGTAAGGTCTGTAGTCTGTATCCAGTCTGTTTTTGAAAGTGTTCAAGAATAGGGCATCCACAGTATCTTGGCTGAGTGTGTTCCATACAAATACTACCCGATTGGTACGGAAGTTCGGTCTAGCAAGCTTTGCGCATCTTTCTTTCGAGAGTTTTTTGGAGTGTCCTCTATGCCTCTCATGACGATGATATCCAGTTGGACGCTATAGTATCCAGACATGATTATGTGGGTCTGTATTAGGTCGCCTCTTTGCCGGCGTTCTCGTAGAGTGGGTATCCTTATGTGTTACACAGCGCTGTACGCACTCCAGCAGTTAAATGTCCTTAACGTAGTATGGGTTCTACGAACTCACAGCAAACTCAAGCATCGGTCTTATATATGCTTTATATATCTTCATAATTGTCGAACAGGAGTGATCCTTAGATGCTTTTTGGAGTGGACAAGATATATGACGGTGTTTGCTCTCTTCACTCTTCCCGCGAAGTGGCTTTCTCAATCAAGATCTTTTGTCACAACTACTCCAAGGTCCCTTTGTAGGTCGACCGCTTTGAGGGTTTTTGTCAAGGAGGGTGTATTGAGTAATTGGGTTGTTTGGACCGATATGCAGCGATGTGCACTTTTCGACATTCAGCGACATTCGCCAATTTCCAGTCCACACCTCCACAGTCCTCAGATCGCTCTGCAGTGAGATGACATCACATAGTGGATTACAGTACAATTTGGTGTCATCTGCGAAGAAGCAGATTCTGTTATTGATGTCGGTCATCATATAGCTGATATAAACCAAGAACAGCAACAGTCCAAGAACTGAGCCCTGAGGCACTCCACTCCTCACAGTTCTTACGCCTGACAAAGCGCCATCTATCCTAACCTGAAATCTGCGCTTGCTTGGTAAGGAAGCCACCAAATCAGGGCAGAAATGGGCCCCTAACGCCATAGTGATCAAGCTTGTGAAGTAGCCTGTGAAAAGGGACTCTGTCAAAGGCCTTTCAAAGACAAGGTATACGACATCCACTGGTTGACCACTGTCCTGCAAAGTAGTCTAGTCGCTGAGACATGAAAGAAGGTTTGTATCTATGGATCTTTTCAGTAAGAACCCGTGTTGACATGCTGGTATTATGCCATTCTCTAGGAAAAAGTCAGTTAATGGTCAGAAGACAATTTAGGTACACTGGTGGAATACCGTCAGCGCCAGCAACAGAGTTGTTTTTAAGGCTATGAATAGCGTTCTGCACCTTTTGGGGGGTGAAGTCGATGGTGGTTATAGAGTTTACTGTGCGTGAATTATCGGTGAGTTTCGGCATGTTGCCGTCGGGCTCTATATTGAAGACTTCCACGAATTGCTTAGCGAACACTTCTGAGACCAAGCTAGGGTGATGCACCAAGTCTCCCGCCTGGTTCTTCAGTGAGACGTGGTTGATTGTTAAGTGAAGTGATCTTGATACATATAAAAAGATTTTTTTTCCTTCGGCTGTCGCTATTTAACTCTCATATTTTTTTCCAGCTTCGGTAATTAGCTGTTTTACTCGGTTATTTTGTGTCCTATACCTCTCATAGTGAACCGTGATTCTGTTTCTAGTGTAGCAGTCCCACAAGGAGCGTTTCTTCTTAAGAGCTTTAAAGATGTGGCAAGTCAACCAGGATTTGTGTAAATTGTTTTTCATGGCTCTGAGAGGAATGCATTGTTCAATACGGTTATTGAGGAGTTGGTAGCATTGGTCGATATCAGGGTCATCTGGGAGGTTGTTGTGGAGGAATTTGTTGACATTGGTGTAGCTCTGCTGCCAAAACTGTCTTTTTCTAGGGACATGGGTAGTCTTGAATGGAGTAGTTATCTGTGCAGTAGCACTTATTATTACATGGCAGCTTTTTCCAAGGGGTGGTTTAGCCTCAATACTGGTAACTAAATAGTTTGGAATCACTAACCTTAAACAAGCCCAGCAATGATGCTTGATCGTTTCGGTGTCTAGTTGGAGAAGATATTAATTGTTTAGCATTCATTTCCTTGTATCCATCAAGAAAGTCGCTGGCTTGGGAGGAATAAGATGACAAGCTCAGGGTCGGCCAGTTTATTTCGGATAGTTAAAATCCCCAAATATGTAGTGCACCAAGTGCGAACTGAAAGCCCTACATTAGAGTTCTATTTTCAGCCTCGGTTACATAACCTGTTGGTCGGTAGATGCAGGCAACTACAAATTTGACTGTTCCTATGACGATATGTTGCCATATTGAGTCTATGTTTGATGGCATTGATGCACTGCACTCGCTCAATTCGTGACTCTAGATATCTATTGAAAAAAAAATACCCTTTTTTTCATTAACGTATACACAAATTCGGGCACGGTTCACTGACGACTGAACAAACAGAAGGTTGCGATTTTGGCACATTTTGAACTATTACTGGCTTTTGATTAGCTGGAAAATGTTCGTGGAGCCAAAGGGCAGTCAAAACTCAAAAGTAGAAATATATTTATGGAAACGATCAATTGAAAAGAATAAGAAATGATAAAAACATATCACTTATTCTAGAAAAATCAAATCTACAACTTCATGCTTATCGGGCATAATATCAAATTGAAATTATTAGAGGAAAAATATTTCCAATTGTATGTAATGGCAAGCAACACATTCTCCAGTTTTGGCAGGTCAAAAATATATGTAAATTTTAGTGTATTCCCACAATTGATATTCAAATGGCCGGTGCAATACCGTACTCGTCCCCACATAAAACAACAGATGGCCCCCTAAATTGAACATATTTGATCTAATTTAAACTGGCGCTCACGAAATTTACACAGGCTTGACGACATTTTCGTAATTTGTACATTTCCGGTCTGATGCTTGTTTGTGGGAAGCACCAAATAGAATATTTCCAATTTATTCCATGCATGGAATATGGAACAGCAGAAAAAAAAAATTATAGAGACCTAAATCTATTGACTATCAAAAATACCTATTATCATTCTTTTATATATATATTCAAGCTTATGATTGATGAGTGTACTATTACTTTTCATAATGTTTTGTACTATAAATCCACAAGATCTATTCAAAAACCAGTTAGAGAACTATTCCGTATCCTACAATTACAAAGATAAAAGGAAAAAAGCCGCTAAATTCCGGCTTTGATATGTAAATAAAATATTTTGTTTATCTCTAAAGTGCATTCTAAGAAAAGCTCATTTAAAATAGAAATATGCCGCTCATTAAAGCAAACCGCAACTAGAGAGAACAATATCAAATTCAGCAAGGAAACGGGAAATTTTCTAATAATCATTCAGTAAAAACAACGCCAAGGACATTGAGGTGACATTCATACAAGTTTTGAATTCGTAATACATATTTTCTTCAATTCCAAATTACTAGTCATTATAAATACAAGTTGATAATATCAAAAATTTCCTTTGTTCTCAGCTTAATTACAGACACATTAAATGTAAAGGGGATGAAATGTGTTTCTTTTTGTTATGGGAACCGGTCAGAGTGTATCCCATCCCTACACAAGCTTCTAGGGATCTTTTGTCTTATTGCTTGCATGATTTCTATGCTTCAGGGCACACTAAATTCACCGTCTGACAAGGGGAGGAAATAAAAATGGCCGTATGTGTGTGTGTGTATGTGCTAGATTTGTTGCAAGCTAAAATAATCATTATTTTTTGTTGCGAAGGCGAAAATAGAGCAACGAGATAAGAAAAGTGCAAAAAATGTTTCATCAGGGTCACTGATATTAACCCCAATAATCATTACTATAAATAGCATTATTTATATTTTGTTGAAATTGAAAATTTAGTCAAGCAACTAGCTGTAGACAAAAATACCAAAGCAACGCACTAAGAAAAAGGCGTGTTACTCAACCTTGAACCCCACACAAAATTCAAATTATTTACCTCTTTGGTCCAAGGCCCTTTTACGAGTTCAGGATTCACCACTTTAGTCCATCTTTGATGGCACTGTACATCAGATCTGTCTGGAAAAAACTGGGCGATCACGTCCCATTTTTCATTGTATTCGTCGACGTAGTCTTTGAGTTTTGCATCCTAGAATTGATTAAATTGATCGTTATAATAATTATATTAGTCGGTCGTTGTTACCTCTTCTTTACTCCATCGGCCCTTGTTGATGAGTTTCTTGGTTTTTCCGCATAATTGGTAGTCTTCTAGGCCTGCCGCCGATGAATCGTCCGAATCTTCGTTTCCGCTGTTTTCTACTTCCGAGTCCATTTCTTTTTTGTACCTGAAACAAAGTTGAACGTTTTGAACAAACATTGACTAGTTCAATGACTTAAAGAAGCTGTTTATAGTGTTTATTTTGGGATTATGGTTTGGTGTCTTCCGTCTTAAGATTTTTGAATGAATTTGGTATAACAATAAGGATTAACTTCTAAAGTCTTATTAGCCAGGTAGAAATTCTGGTTGAAAAGCAAAATCTTGTCTTTTTATAAAGGAATTACGTGAAATTTTTACAGACGTTTCAGTGAAAATTACTAGCTTCCTGAAATTGAGCAGCTATTTCCTCGCCTATTTAAAAAGGCTTGATCGTTGATGCTCAAATTTAGCATAAACATTCACTTAACAGCATATTACAAACATTAGAAGGGGGAATTAGAAAGATTTTTAGGAAAAAGAAATACTTTTCATTGCATGGTTAAAGTTATCTCAAATTTTGACAAAATCCTCCTTGTTCTCCTTGTTCAAATAAGGAACTCTCAAGATAACCACGTAACTTGTGTATTTTAATAAGAATTTTTAATTTATAGTAGTTGGTTAGAAGGAGATAAGAAACCCTACAATATGAGATAATAAAATTATAACTGTAAAAGCATCAAGATAGGCGAGGAAATGGCTTGTTCAACATTATGGAGCATTTGGCAAAGTACAAAAACCCCTTCAAAGTAAATTAATTGAACAAAATATATCCTATAGCACCTGTTAGACCAATAAATTACATCCGAAATCATAATCCAACATCTACGAAAGAAAAAAATTGAAACTAATTAGGTGTAGCCGGCCAGATGGCTCATTAAAATGGCAAATTGCATTCGCCCTTATTGGCCAAGTAGTTCATTAAACTTAGACTAACAGTAAGCTAGGTTAATGTCCCAAACAGGGAAGAGCCTCAAAGGTCCGCAACCTTATTGAACTTTCAAGACAAATAGACAGGTAGGAAGCAGATGGCCTAAAGTTGGACTCACCATCAGTGGCGCGAATAACTCACAATTACATAATATTACAAACATCTTGTGTAAGAATTAAAAAAAAAAAAAAAGATCTTACAAAGACAAATTTAGCTTTGAAGACTTCAAATTCCTACATAAGATGTTTGTTTCTATTTGTCAGTCAGTATTAAGGAATGAGGTACCCCACTGTTGATTTTTTTCAAAGTAGGCATCAGTTTTATAGTCGCGTGCCGACACCTTGAATTTTCCTTATTCCCCAGCTGTCCGATAGGGCCATTAAAAATTTATTTTAGAGGGTGAATTGAAAATTTTTACCAATAGAAGAATAAAATATATCGAAGGAAATAGGCATGAGTAACACAAGAAACAACTTACTTGGTACTTCCTTTCTTTGTTTGCACGCATTTCCTATGCTCAAACAATAGCAGGAAAAGAGGGGTTGTCTCTATAATTACCTACAGTCTACTCTATTGTCTCAAAACATGTTACTTTTGCTCTACCAAGAAAAATTTGGATGATACTAAACACTTGATAGGGAACACCTGCATAGTTCAAAGCTAGAGAAGGGTTGCTCACCCCTTTTTTACCAATGAGATGACCTCATTCAACCCCTCAAAAATAGTCCCTTGCCTAGAATTAAAATATTCACATCCTATTTTAGATCGAGAGGAGCAGGAAATTTGAATCTGAGATTATTTGTAATGCTGGCTAAAATAAAACCCAAAGTATTGACCTACATTTGGGTAAAATGAAGGGAATTTACAAAGTTTAAGTTTGCAACTGGCCTTTTAATGGGTTCCTTTCAGCTGGTGCACTTTTTTTTTTTAATGCGTATAATTAGTATTTTATTATTCCTGTAAGTATGTTGATGGATGTTAGAAAAAAGTTGCCTTTAATAAATTCCCAAGTATTTAATATTTTATGTAACTAATCAAGCAATTTTTATGTGAATTATATAATGTCCGTATAACTGGTATTTAGACAACTTGTCCTTTTCGGAATTTAAATTACACAATACAAATCTTCTGCAAGTGTGGAATAATTTATGGAAATCAGCATTCCGGTTTATTGGCTTTGTTTCATTAATGAATTTTTCACATTTTTAGCTTTTATTGAATCTATTTCATCTTTTTGAATTAATTAATCTAACAAAATCCTATGGAAAAAACTTGAGTGCCATGGAGAGGAGGCAACAGTTAAAGTTGATGAGGATCATCAATTTGAGTAATTTGAGTTTGGAATTATTGGTAATATGCGAGGTATATGTATTTATTCAGTAGATAAATTTGAAATTTCAGTATAATGAGCTAGCTCCTGATTTTCCTCTTTTTGTCCTAAAAGTTTCAAAATTTTTCCTTCAGTAGGTAGTTTTCCAGAAAAACAATAAAGTGTAAGAGAATGCATTTTTGCTCAATTTAGATTTTGCAAGTTGATTTTCATTAATTTCCCATGGTCTTGTGTGCCAGTGAAGAAACTTGAAATTTTAGTATAATGAGCGCCTAATTTTCCTCTTTTTATCCCAAAAGTTTCACATTTTTCCATTCATTAGTTTTCCAGAAAAATATTAAAATGTAAGAGATTGCATTTTTACTTAATCTAGATTTTGCAAGTTGATTTTCATTAATTTCCCATGGTCTCGTGTGGCAGTGGAGAAATTTGAAATTTTAGTTTAATGTCCTCCTAATTTTCCACTTTTTATCCTAAAAGTTTCATAATTTTCCCTTCAGTAGTATTCCAGAAAAATATTCAAATGTAAGAGATTGCATTTTTGTTTAATTTAGCTTTGCAAATTGATTTTCATAAATTTCCCATGGGGTTGTTTTTCACTCGAAAAATTTGAAGTTTTAGTATAATGAGCTCCTAACATTCCTTTTTTCATCCTGAAAGTTTCATAATTTTTCCTTGAGTAGTTGTCCAGAAAAATATTAAAATGTAAGAGGTTGCATTTTTGCTTAACTTGGACTTTGCAAGTTGATTTTCTTTTCATTAATTTCCCATGGTGTTGTTTTTCACTTGAAAAATTTAAAGTTTTAGTGTAATGAGCACCTAATATTCCTCTTTTCATCCTGAAAAAATCATAATTTTCCCTTGAGTAGTTCTCCAGAAAAATATTAAAATGTAAGAGATTGCATATTTGCTTAATTTAGATTTTTCAAGTTAATTTTCATTAACTTCTCATGTTGATGTTTGTTTGAATTTTTGTAAACTTTGATAAATCATATTTCCAATTATTCTATTCTAGATAGAAAGCTTCGGTGATTCCTATCCTAGGAAGGATTACAACCCTTTAAAATTTCAACTCATTTGGACTTATAGTTCCAGAGATAAAATCGCGTCAAGCAGAGTGGGGTGAATTTTATGAATTTTCAATTTTCCTGAGGTCCTTTTTCATAGATTTTGGCTTCAAATCTCAGAATAATTTAGTTTTTGGAGTATTTACAGAAATGAAACGCACTTAAGAGACTTGGGATCTTGTATTGAACATTCAAAAATACACTCAAAAGTAATTGAAGGAAATTAGTTAGAAATAAGAAGAATATTTTCCTGCAATTCACTCCTCAAAGTTAAACAGGCAATGTTATTTGTTTGCAGACCAAAAACCTCGAAAAAAAACTACTATCTACATACTTTTTGTACAAATAAACTTTTGCTTGAGATGCTTCTAATCATAATCTCTAAATTCAAATAAATATTTGATAAGTTTTCGAGTCGCAGATCCATAATGAAAACTGGAAGAAAGCCAAAAGCTAGATATTGGAAACCATCCTTATTGCTGCAGTTAGCACAAGATATAAATCTCGATATGAAAAGAATATCAAACTACATATATATACATAGTCAAATGTATAGTATACCCATGTTGCTTCAATTTTTTTTCTTTCTTCAAATGAAACCATTAATATTTTCACTTCCTGATGACACTAAGGTAGCCTCACTACCACAACCCTTATAAAAAAAAAACAACACTCGGAACTCCCCAAGGTACTTTGAATGTGGATAGTCAACCCCGCCAAACAATAGATTAGATAATCCAAGTGCATTTTGATATTTTGATAAGGCTCAGTTTTATTATCGATTCGCAGGGCTGCTCGCCATCTGCCTTACCGAGGGGAGCCCTATTGGACACCTGCTCAGCCCCTATATGACCCTTCGTGTGTATTACTTTGGTACGTGCATGCACCATTAGTGCTATGTAGAATAGGAAGCGACACAAAAAATATGTCATTCATTATATCATATTGATTAGAGATTTCAAAATTTCCCAAATACATTCTCAGTCAAACAAAAATATATTAATATTAAATAAAATTATCTTTTGCTTCATAAGTATGCGTGGTAGTTTTTGCTATAATGAAAAAGTCCCTCTTTGTCTAAGATTTCCAAAATAAATCTAATACAAGTGACAGTAGAAGACAAGGGTGACTAGGCACCCCAAAAAATCTCCCCCTAGACGAGCATTTCCATAGAAAATGCGACCGATTAAAGAGAGCCAATGGGAATTTACCTGTAATCTAGCAAGCAAGCAAGGGTGAATTTTCGTGGGAAAAATTTAAAAACTTAAGAGAACTTGTTATTCGGGGGGCGATTCGCAACTTATTGCAACATGTGCCATGTGAATTTTTTTTTTTTTTCATCCAATAGGGGGCGGTTTTTGGAGTGGTGTTTTTCTTCCAGGTGTCAGGACAAAAGGGGTTTCAATTAGTGCAAATTTATTTCAGGGATTTTGGGTCTTATGTTAATAATACCAAAGTTTAATCTTATCAAGTAATTAGTATTTGAAGTTGTTGTTGTGGAAAAAAATTACTTTATTTTTTTGAAGATTTTAATAGTTTCATGAGTTTTTGCTTGAGTAATGAATGAGTTTTTGAATAATTTAGGCAGTGTATTCATTCGCTTGCGGTGCAAGTGATTGGAAAGACAAAATACTGAAGAACATTAAGTATCTGATTTTTGGCTTATTAGAAACCCTACAAGTTGATTCTTGATTACAGTATATAGTTTTGACCACCTCAGTGGAAAAATGAGCTTTTTCAGTAGGCTGTAATTTCAAACTGAA